ACAGACAAAGAAGACAACAACAAATGAAGCAACTTTGTCGTTCCATATATTGAAGTAGGATTTTCAACCAACAATATACACATGCACACTTCAAATCCACTTTCCTGCATCTCAACAAGCATGGATTCAGCACAGATTCCCTCTTCAACTTCATTTTGTTTTTTTGTTTTTTTAATGGTATTAAGGAGGTGATTCTTTGCTAAAGGCCTCTGTCATCTGTTTCCTATCTGGGAATCCCGTGGGAATGCAGGGGAAACTATATCCTCCTTGGGAGACACACACACCCCTCAAAAAAACCACCCCATTCCCCAATCACCCACTTATACCCCATTTTGCACAAGGCCAGGAAGGTCAAATCTGTGTTCAATTTGGAAAAAAAAGGGAGAAAAACACAGAGAAAGCAGGGCTGTGCCATCCCAGCTTTGCAAAGTCCTAATTTCCCCTCGATTTATATCTTTAAATCCTCAAATTTCCAAAGAGCTTTTAAAAAAAAAAGGCATTTGAAAGTCCCCGATTGTTTTAGTTTTCGGAAGATCGAAGTGGGTGATAGGGATTTGGAGGTGCAACCAATCCTGGGGGGATTCTTTTGGGGGGGTATGGGAGGAGGGAAATGGCAAAAGGGTGGGTGGGTGGGTACCATTATGAAAAACCAAGCCAGAGAAATGAATCTCGGAAGAAAGCGAAATTTAAAAAAGTAAAATAAAATAAATAAATAAAGGCAAGATGCAGAGAGAGAGATGTTGAAAAGAAAAACGAAAAGAAAAAAAAAAGTTGATTTTTCTCCAAAAAACATTCTTACCTAGTTTTCTTTTTTGTAATTTTTTTTCTTCATGCTAATATCACACGGCCTATTTGTTGATGTAAGTTGACTGAATTCCGTGGTTTGCTCTCTTATTTTTTTTAAACAAAAAAAAAACAAACAAAGGGAAAAAAAAGAAGAGAGAGAGAGAGAGAATATTTTAGTGTTTTAGCCGAAGAGGATGGGAAGAGAAATCAGCCAGAGAGGGTGTTACTTCTCTTAATTCTGCTGTTTTATCTGTTTAATTTTTTTTTCTTTTTTTCTTTTTTTTTACGGATTAAATGACTTCTTTAATTATCTTTCTTTTTTGTTTTTCCTTTTGATATTGATTTCTCTAGACAAAACGAAAGGGAAGCTGGCAGGGACTGGAGTCAGGGGGGTTTGGCTAGCTATTCTCGTGGTTGGCGCTGTCTTGTGTGGACGTGGGGGGGACCGCTGGCCGCGTGGCTGACCCTTTCTCCCCCTCTCTTCTCTTCCCCCTTGTCTCTCTGTTCTAGGAGGTGAATTAGTCTTGCCCATAATAACCGAAGACTCTCTAGACACCCCTCCAATTGCCACGCGCTCTCCTTTTGTCCCCCTGCCTCCCACCTTTGGCCCCTTCCTAACCGTAATCGAGACCACCAAAGACACCATCTCCCTCCCGGCTCAGCCGAAGGCCCCCTGCCTGACCGACCAAGACGACAGCGACTGCGAAGAGGGCATCGAAGCCTCGGGGTACGCCTCCGGCGAGGTCTTCGACTCCAGCCTGCCCCCCACCGACGACGAAGATTTTTACACCACCTTCCCCTTGGTCACTGATAGGACCCCGATGGGCCGCCCCGATGGAGGAGCCGCCAAAAAGCCCCACGGATACCGCCCCAACCTTAGGACAGGATTGCCGGCTTCGCCCTCCGGCCCAGACCTCCTCCTGGCCTCCACCACTTCACCCACCCTGCTCCACCGCATCCCCGCAGGCAAAATGAACAACCGCGAGCCCCCCCTGCGGCCCCACCCCGAACACTTCCACCCTCTGGCCACCTCCTTCGAGCCGGACAAGCTCAACCGTCCCAAGTATCCCGTTATAACCTCTTCCCCCGATTTCCACAATCTGCCCACAGCTAACCCCACCGACCCCGGGGAGAGGGGTCCTCCCGGCGCCGTGGAGGTCATCCGGGAATCCAGCAGTACCACCGGCATGGTGGTGGGCATCGTGGCGGCCGCCGCCCTCTGCATCCTCATCCTCCTCTACGCCATGTACAAGTACCGCAACCGGGACGAAGGCTCCTACCAGGTCGACCAGAGCCGTAACTACATCAGTAACTCGGCGCAGAGCAACGGCACGGTGGTGAAGGAGAAGACGGCCGCTGCCCCCAAAACGGCCAGTAAAAGCAAGAAAAACAAAGACAAGGAATATTATGTCTGAGGCCCTCCCCCGTCCTCGCCCCCTCCCCAAATCCCTGCGTGCGCCAGAGAGACCCACGCCCGAAGGAGGCACACAGGGAGATTATCCAGACATGCATTTCCCTCCCACCCACCCCCCAAAAAACTTTCTGGAGAGGAGACCTCCCCAAATGCCTCCTCCGGGGGGAGGCGGCCACTGCTCCTAATGGGCACCGCCCATTGCCCACCCTCTTTGGTTCGCTCATCACCTTTGACGCCCTCCCCTCACAAAAAAGACCCCCCCAAGCAAACAACAAACGAGAGAAACATGGTGGAGGTGAGAAGCTGGCAGGGCCTCCCCTCTTCCCTCCTCCTATCCTGACCTCCCAACCCTGCAGGATTGTTGTTTTCGCTCCCCTCTCTCCCCCCCCCCCCCGCAGGCAGACTTAAAGGCAAGCAGTGGAATTAGGGCCACGGCAGGGCTGCCTCTGGCCCGGAAGAGGATGGTGCCTGGACCGCACAAGGAGGAGGATTAAAAAGGGGTTGGGGGACACAGAACCACAGCCCCTTCCCCGCCGGGATGATGCGTGGCCAGCCCAAAGCAGGCAGGCAGGAAGGCAGGCGGATCGTGATGCCCCCCACTCCACCCCTTGGCAGGGTTTCGTCCTTTGATGGAGGTGGAAAAAATGGGGCCCCCTCCCTCTGACCATACCCTAAGCTACTCGGAAAGGATTCCCCAGCCAGAGCCGGGCCTGACCCCTGGACTGGCCAAGGGGACGAAGGGGACGGAGACCCCAATCCCATCTCCCTGGCCTCCAGTCTTCAAATTGTGTCCTGGTTTAACCCCTGGCCTGGCCTGGCCACTCCCACACCCCACCCTCCTCTCGTCCTTTAAGCTTTGATTTTCCTGGGAGGGCAGCGGAAAAATGCCAAGAGGAAGCAGAGCACCCGGGCGTTGGCGGCCCAACCTCTCCGCAGGGGCCATTCCCGATTCCCGAATGCCAACCGGATAGGTCCCGACTTGTTCCCAAAATTGGGGGGGGGGGTGTTGTTTTCAAATCACGCTGTTTTTTTTAAAGAGGGGGGGTTTACTAATAGGTTTGACGTCCATAACTCAATGCCATTGTGAACCAAGTTGGGGTTGGCGTGGTCTGTGTCCCCCCCACAGCCGAGCGGGAGCGACGTCGCTTTGCGTTTGGAAGGGTTCGGCCACCCTCCCGCCATCTGCCATGCCTCCCACCGTTGTCCTTTCCAGGTCTCCCTTCAAAAACAAGGTGCTATATTGTGTTCCTTTCTTTCCAAACGGTGTTAAAAAGAAACGAGCATGTCAGATCACAAGTTATTATTTTTCATTATTTTTTTAAACTTTGTTTTGCTTTTGTGAAAACCGGGGAGGTGGGGGCCGGCGGGGCGGGCGGGCGGGCGGGCCAAGGACCGAAGGAGGACGCACGACTGCCTGGCGACCCAATTCGAAGCAAAGCAGTTGTTCAACGGTGACGCCACGGATGTTCCCCGAAGGCCGTTTGGGGGCAGAGGTATGATTTTGGGGTAGGGTCCCTCGACTGGAGCCAACTTCCTGGATCTGCCAAAACGTAGAGTAATCTCAACAGGGAGCCAACGCGAAGAGAAAGCCATAGATTAGAGATCTATCTATAAATACGTCGTTATATATGTACAGAGAGAGCGGTGTTTCCGAATCGTAGCCATTTTAAGACGAGGTGGACTTCAACTCCCAGAATCCCCTGCCAGCATCACTGATGAGGGGATTCTGGGAGTTGAAGTCCACCCCTCCTTAAAATGCCCGAAGTTGAGAAACATCGATATAGAGAGATAAATAGCTTTATAAAGGTCTATGAGATATACAGAGTGCAGTATGCGTAAGCTATTGAGTTGAAAAAAGGAGGGGGCTGTGGGAAAGGGGTAATAGAGGGAAGAGGGGGGTGAGGACCGCAAATAAAGGGGGGAAGAGAGAAGGATTGTCTGGATCTTTGAAAGGGAGGGCAAGGGGTTGAGCCCCCCCTCCTCCTCCCCAACACTTGTTGGCCTCTTGAGAGGTTAACCTGGGCCGTCTTCAACTTTGGTGGGCCAGGCAATGATTGCTCTGTTTCCCGCAGTTCACACAACTGTCAGCCCCAATCATCAATGGGAAAACAGTGGGAAAACGAGGCTCAGGTTGTAGGAAGGGGCAGAGGTTTGGGAGGAGGGGCAGGGGTCTTTTTGAGAGTAGAAGTGGTCTTGGGGCAGCAGATTTGGGTCTGGCCACAAAGGGCGGATTCAGATCAGATCCCCAATTTGAGAAGGAGGATTGAGACCTGGCCTCAATTTTTCTCTTCAACCTCCTGCTTGTCTTCTGCCTGGCACTCTCCTTCCTGCCTCCCAGAAGATGCCAGCTTTCCTCTTGCCACACTTTGCCTGCCTGGAGAACCTGGTACTCCAGTGGTTCCCAAACTTGGCAACTTTAAGACTTGTGGACTTCAACTCCCAGAATTCTACAGCCAGCAGAGTCCACAAGTCTTGAAGTCCACAAGTCTTAAAGTTGCCAAGTTTGGGAACCACTGTGGTACTCCATTAGGATCAGCTCTGCCCTGCCCATAAGGCACGGTCTCTGTCAGTTCCAAAAAAAGTGAGAGTTTCATTGAACCCTCTTCCTGCCACCCTGAAAACTATGGAGAAACCAGTCAGGGTCTCCACAAGCATCCTGTGTGCCAAGGCAGTTCTGGGGCAGCTACGTTCAGACAAGCTAAGGAGAAATCTTTGATGGTTTTGTGGCTTAGTGAGCTGTTGGGAAGCATTGCTGGTTCACAATGTCCTGGCAGGATCCGGCCCTTATTGCGGGGTGCAGACCACCAAGAGGCCTCTGTCCTCCCTACCCCCACCAAACTCACTGGGATTCAGAAAAAAATGGACTTTCTCTGCAGAATTTTCCACTCTGGCAGACGATAAAAATGTCCCATCCTCCAGGAAAGCTTTCGACGGTGTTTGGTGGGAAGGAAAGGATTGCTATTCTGGATCAGGGTTTCTAAAGCTAACCATGATGAAGGACCAGGGTTTTTATTTTATTTTTTAATAATTTCCAATGTGTCGCAGGCCAATACTTTTGTAAAATGCCATAAAAATGGACTAATAGGAAACTTGAGATGGGGGGGGGGGATGCAAAATACAAGCCCACAATTACTATTAGACTCTGCAGGCATAAATTTCGGCAAATCTCCAAAACCTTGAATTGCATTGCCAACTGACGCTATGGGCACCCACCATCACATTTTGAGTCGGATTTTCTCTAGATTTGGGGCAAAGGACCCAACAGGGCAACTAATCCTATTTTTCTAGCTCCCCCTTTAGGTGAATCAAACCTTTGCCAGTTGTCCATTTGGCCAATGGATGGCTTTCTCGTGCGTAAAAAAGTCCCCAAACCAAGAAATGCTTAAAAGGAGGAAGTTCACTCCCTCTCGTCCCCCCCTGAAACCTATTTGTAGCTATAAGTTGGGCTCTGATGGCAGGTGTGAAGCTGGTAGAGCGAGAAGCAATGTGTGTGTTGTGCTGTGTTCGCGCAACAGCTTTGAGCGGATTCTGCAGGCTTGATGAGCAGCAATCTTGCTTCTTTGTGGTTTAGCTTCTAATTCAAGCCCAAACCCAGGAAATTTCTCACCCTTCTCCACCTGAACATTAACAATTAATCAGTGGAATGGCTTGCCTTCTGAAGTTGTGGATGCTCCATCACTGGATATTTCCAAGAAGACATATAGGACAGCCAAAATTTGTCCAAAATAGTCTAGAGTCTTCTGCTCCAGCAGGGGGTTGGACTAGAAGACCTCCAAGGTCCCTTCGAACTCTATTTCTGTGTTCTATCCCAAAGGTGATTTTTCTCAAGAGGCAACTGGACTTTCTGGTTTCTCTTGGAAGATGTTTCTCTCCTCATCCAAGAAGCTTCTTCTGCTCTGGCTGGATGGTGGGGAATGGAAGGATTGATCCTCCTTGCAGACAGCTGGTCATTTGCATCCTTTTAGAGGGTCGTTGAGGCAACTTGGAGGTTTATCTATGTCCTCAGGGTCACCTGAGTGGTGCAAATGGGTGTGGAGCCTTTTTGGATGCATGATTTTTTCTTTTCTGTGTCATCATCCTCCTCTAACCAAGAAGTCTCCATACCCATTTGCACCACTTAGGTGACCCTGAGGACACAGACAATCCTCCAAGTGGCCTCAATGACCCTCTAAAAGGATGCAAATAACCAGATGTCTACAAGGAGGATCAATCCTTCCATTCTCCACCATCCAGCCAGAGCTGAAGAAGCTGCTTGGAGGAGAAGCAAAACATCTTTAAAGAAGTCACAAATAAATCTCCAAGTGGCCTCAATGACCCTCTAAAAGGATGCAAATGACCAGCTGTCTGCAAGGAGTGTAAATCCTTCCCTTCTTCAATCGGAGCTGAAGAAGCTTCTAAGGCTGAGAAGCAAAACATCTTCAAAGAAAAACCCGAAAGTCCAGGTGTCTCTTGAAAAAAGCACCTTAGGGACAACCATGACCAGGGAAACTGACAATTTCCATAGGCATTCCATGTTCTAAGGTGCGTCAACTTAAACTCCCAGAATTCCCCATCCAGCCATACTGACTGGGGAATTCTGGGAGCTGAAGCCCACACATCTTCAACTGGCCGAGCTTGAGAAACGTCGATCTAGGAAGGAAATTATCCTTGTTATTAAAAACTGCATCTCCAAATATTGACCCTTTGACTGTGGTTTCGATCCTTGATTTTCCACTGAAAGCCACAAAAATGGGAAAAATAAAGCAACCCTTAAGGATTCTTCAGCCGAGACCATTAAAAAGATCCAATTTGAACGTAATCCACCCCAGATCCGGTTCTGCGCCACTTTGGGGTGCCTTAAAGAAGGGGGGGAAACCAACAGGGCTTTTGAGGCCAGGATGGGCAAAATGTGTCAAAATCCCGGCTTATGCCAGCCATTTCCCCCCAACCCTTCCACACGGTGGAATGGAAAGCCGCTGAATAGCTGCCTCCATTTGTCCGGAGGCTCCCATTGGAAAAACTGGATTAATCAGTGAATTATACCAAAAAGCACTTAAGGGGTTAAGATGGAGATTGGCCAT